AGAGACAGTGACAGATGCAGAGATGAGGGTTGCCCTGGCCGCCTCCCATCCCAGCACCCCTGGTTGAGTTCACTATAAGCTATGTGAAGAATGGTACACAGAGAACAAGGTCACCAAAGAGCAAAACCCCACACTCCAGACCTCAAGGGGGCACCAGATTCTCCCAGTACCAGGGCCCCATGGAGGCACGGCCAGCATCCCTTGGATACAAAGCTCTTGGAAGCTCTGGAATTCATCACACTTTTTTTTGTTTTGTTTTGTTTCTTTGTTTTTGTTGCTTGGGGGTGCATACCTGAGCCTCCTCCCCTCAGAGGACCTTCAGAGGTAAACCTTGCTTTGGTGAAGCCTCTCTCTCGGAAGAGAGAAGATGAAGTAGAAAACTGCTTGCTCCATTGTTTTTGCCAAAAAAAAAAAAAAAAATGTACAATGGGGAAGGGTTAGAAGCAAGGGAGGACCCCCACCCCAGTGCTCAGCCCTCCCTTTTGGGTGACATTTCAAGACTGGCCTGGCAGCCAGATCCCAGGAGGCTGCCTCTCCCCTTACCCCTCTGAGGTTCAAGATCCTGGGAACCCCTCTCTTCTGAACCTATCCATGGCTGCCTCCCAGGGAGGGCCCCACTCCCAGTTTCCCTAGAGAATGCGAGAGAACTTTCTAGTGAGAAAAAGAAAAAGGACCCCTCCCCAACCCTGTAAAGGCTACCTCATTGAGCCCACGCTGTGATTCAAATGATCACGTCTGATACCAAAGATTCCCCCACCCCCCCCAAGGGTTTGTGCTGGAAGCCAGGGTGTTCCCACCCTCACCACATGGCTGTCCCCCCACCCGAGAGAGAAAGAGAGAGGAAGAGAGAGAGAGAGAGAGAGAGAGAGAGAGAGAGAGAGGACAGCGAGGTCGGTGAGTGCCTTCTTATTGAACCAAAGATGTGTGTAGAGTGTCCTCTGTCCTTAATGACTTGCCGCTCTCCCATGGAAGCAACTTGGATGGATGCTTCTAGAACCTTCGGGTGTGAGGCAGAATGCTCAGAGTGAAAAGAATCCTCCCTGTTCCCACTCACATGCACACACACACACACACACACACACACACACACACACACACAATTGAAGAGATGGCTCAGTGGTTAAGAGCACCGACTGCTGTAGTCAAGGACCCAATCTGGGTTCCCAACACCTACATGGAAGCTAACAATCATACATAGCCCAGTTATAACAGACTTAGCGCCCTCTTCTGGTTTCACAGGCACCTACACTCACATGCACATACCCATACACAATTAAAAAGAAAACATTTGTTGTTGTTGTTGCTTTTTGTTTTTTTGAGACAGGGTTTCTCTGTATAGACCTTGATGTCCTGGAACTCACTCTGTCGACCAGGCAGGCTTTGAACTCAGAGATCCACCTGCCTCTACTTCCTGAGTGCTGGGATTATGAGTGTAGACTACCACCACCTGGTTAAAAAATAAAATAAGTCTTTTCACACGCTCACGCGCACACACACACTCACACACACTCATGACAGCTGCCATTTGTGAGGACTCAGGTGTCCCTCCTATCTGCACTAGCACTGAGTCCCCCCCTTTTCCTCACACTCCCACACTTCTGATTCATGGCTCCAAGCCTTGTCCTGCCCAGCAGGCACAGGTAACATATCCTATGAACCAGAAGACCCAAGGCCCACAAAATGAGCAAGGAAAAAAATGAAGTATGACATGGTGGCACATGACTTTAAACCCAGCACTCAGGGTGCAGAGGCTGGCTGACCCATTCACATAGTACAGCCTGCCTCAAAAGATCTGACTCAATCACAAGTTGGAAAATACCATGTATATATGAAAACTTGTGAGACGGGTCTCACTCTGTAGCTAAGGCTAGCCTCTAGGTTGAGATCTTCCTTCCTGCCTCAGCCTCCTGAGCATCATCGAGAGTCAGATTGAATTTTGTTTCTTCTCTTTGTCTTTTACTTTTATGATTTTGTTTCTGGTGATGATGGGGATGGAACCTAGGATCTAGTACATTTTAGGCAAGTATTCACCTTGCCCATGCCCCACCCAGCCCCTCATCTAGGTAAGGCTTCACCCCTGATCATGCCCCCAGCCGCTCACTGAGAGATTCTAGGTGGGGCTCCACTCCTGAGCTATCAACGGAACCTTTCCAAATACCATTACACACACACACACACACACACACACACACACACACACACACAAAAAAAAAAAAAAAAATCAGGGCCCTCTCCGGGCCCAGATGAACCTCCATCCTCCCCCTCTGAACCACACACCTTCTGGTCCTAACCTACCAAAGATCTTTCCTACACAGGGAACCCACAGTCCAGCACAATTCCTTCTAGCCTTTGACAATTCTCTCTGAAATACCTCAAAATATTTAATGTATAGTTTATGTGCTAAAAACAAAACAAACAAAAAAAACCTTAGCTAGTTTTGGGATTATGTGACTCGAAGCTTTATACTGTTAAATTATAATTTTGCAAATAATGGCATGTTTATCTCTGACCGGTTCCGTGGGAGACGCATTGAACGTCAGGGCAGCAAAGCCAGTGGTCCCTGGGAGGGTGAGTGGGGGACCGGTGGCCTTCACAGATTTCCTATATATAAGAGTCTCTTAGGAAAGAGAAAGGCGTGCTCGATAGCTATACCTTTCCCTGGCTTCTTCTGTTTCTTTGTTTTATGGAGTCGTGTCTTCTAAGAGTATTTATGATTCTATGTGTTCTGTGTTTAAATGTAATTTAAGAAAAAAATAAGAAAAGTGAAAACCAAAGAGGTGATGGAATTTGATTGACTCATGGCCTGTATGTTCTGATTACGTAACTGAAGGGGTGGGCATGGGGTACTCTGCAAGCCAGTTGGCCATCTCGTGGCCCTGTTTCTATCCCCACTCTAACTCCTAAGTAATTGTGTCCAAGAAGGTGGCAAGGCCCCGAGTTAGAGGGGCCCTGGAGCAAGCCACACCTGAGCCCACTCACGCCCCACCCCACTCACGCCCCACCCCTCTCACGCCCCACCCCTCTCACGCTCCACCCCTCTCACGCTCCACCCCATTCATGCTCCACCCCTCTCACGCCCCACCCCTCACGCCCCACCCCACTCACGCTCCACCCCTCTCACGCCCCACCCCTCACTCCCCACCCCTCTCACGCCCCACCCCTCACGCCCCACCCCTCTCACGCTCCACCCCTCACGCCCCACCCCTCTCACGCCCCACCCCATTCATGCTCCACCCCCTCACGCTCCACCCCTCTCACGCTCCACCCCTCTCACGCCCCACCCCTCTCACGCTCCACCCCTCTCACGCCCCACCCTTCTCACGCCCCACCCCACTCACGCCCCACCCCTCTCACGCCCCACCCCACTCACACTCCACCCCTCTCACGCCCCACCCCTCTCACGCCCCACCCCACTCACACTCCACCCCTCTCACGCTCCACCCCTCTCACGCCCCACCCCTCTCACGCTCCACCCTTCTCAACCCTGCCCCTGTGGTCCTACCTGGCGGAAAGCCGTTGCCTTCTCCGTTGCATCTGGGGTGCATGTGGGAAGTTGTGGACCCCTTGCCCCACTGGGTGGGGTTCGCTCTAGCACAACTTGCCAAGCAAGCATCTTCAAAATAGACAACTAAGGAATTCATGAGTATAGACAGGAAGCAAGCTTGGGTGTACCCCAACTTCCCAGATGCCAAAAGCCTTCCTGAGGCCTAGTCACCTCTCCTGGGATACCCTCAGCTTCCCTAGGCATGGGGTGGTCCCTTTTTTTGCAGCCACTTGGAGACCCTGGAGAACAGGGCTCTGTGCCCCCCACAAGTAGAGAAAGAAGTGGATACAGGCCAGCCTGTGATTCCTGTATTTCCTGCCCCCACCAATCACGGGGGGGGGGGTGTCTCAAGTATGCTGGCCAAGACCTGGCTTCAAATGGCAGGTCCCATGTCACAGAACCCCACCCGAAGCCCTGCTCCCAGGGCGTGGGAAAGTGTGACCATGGACAGTTTGCCTTATTGTCCCCAAATGGTTCAACCAAAGTTTATTCAGGCTTATCCTGGTGGTCCTTCAGACCCCCTGAGGGTGAGTGTTGGTGGGTTCTCTCAGCTAGAAAGGCTCCCAAGAATTTTTAGTGGAAAACAGAAAACAGGGGCTGCTCTTGGACTCATCCGAAGGCTTCAGCCCCTAGTGAGCAGATGAAGGGCAGCCCTCCCCACACCAGCCCTCAGGTAACAGGGAGAAACCAGAGAAGCAGCACCAGCGTTAACCATCACCGTGCTCGGTTTCATTTTTCTTTGCTCTTTTTCCTTCAGTAAAGCCTTTCCTAGTCATTCAGCTACATGTGTGTTGGCCAACTGTGAACTGGCACAGAGCGGGAAAGAACAGGGCTCCACCCCCCCCCAGAAGGAAGCCCGGGGAAGTGGAGGGAGGATGAGCTCCTCACTCCGGTCAGGGCCCAGCAGCCAGGAGGACCTGAGATGCAGACTATATAAGGGCTTGCTTCTGAGGTCTCTACTCATTAGGGCCAGAGGGTGCTGTGGTGCAGTTGAAGCCAAGGTAGATTTATACACTCAGAAAGAGGGACAAAAACCAACAAAAAATATTTTCCTGAAATTAAACTACCTGACCAGTAAGGGTCGGTATTTCAATAATTTGGGGGGTTTGGTTTTGGTATTTCTTTTTTAAACCTGGGCAGGATTTCCCCTGGCTTCTACCAAAAGAGGAGTTGGAGAAGGAGTGAGCCCAAAGAAGCTCCTGGGTCAGAGGGACCCTGTTTTATTAGGAAAAGGCAAGGACGCGGACCCCTCTTGTCTTTGGATGCTGTTTGTTGACTGGCTATTCCTGCTCCTGTCGGGACCGGGGTAGCTGCTGTATGCTTGTGTGGGTGGAGATGTGCCTTGAAAAGGCACTGGCGCCCATGCCATGGGAGATGCTGCCAGTGCTGTGCAGTGGGCTTCTGCTCCCTTCCAGGCGACTGTCCCACTGAACTGGATGGCTGGGGAATCTCCCAGCCATGGGCTCCTGGTCAACTAGAGCTGTGGCTGTGTTTCTTTGTGGGGACTTCCAGCTGGCTCTGCTTAGGAGAGGCTGAGTCCTTCCAGGGAAGTGACCTCCAAGACGAGGTCCTGACATCCAAGCGCTCTGGCTGACTATCCAAGGTGTACTCTGAGGGCACACTGTGGAAGGCCTGGTCATCCGAGGAGGACACCTGGAGTGAACCTGATGTGACGCTTTTGGAGGTGGGCAGCTTCCTAGTGTCCAAGTGCTGAGTGGCCTGTTTGTCTCCAGTCTGGGAGCTTGTATTGGGGTGGACCTCCTCGTGGGACCCCTTTCCATAGTGCTTGCGCTTCATTTTAGCCAGGATGGAGATCTTCCGCGGATTAAATATTGACTCCTTATGGCGCGAGGGTAGGTCTTCTTCAGATGGGTTCAGGGACTCAAAGATGGTGTCTCCACCAAGTTCCACGGTGGGCCTGCGCAGGATGGTGCCCTGGGTGATCAGGTCGGCGTAGCCCTCACGGTGGGAGAAGGCATAGCTGGATCGGCGGGCGGGGATGCCACGGCGAAGGTGCTTCATGGCAGGCTCCACAGTCACTTCTTCAGTGGGGACCTCCTCCTCCTCCTCCTCCTCCTCCTGCAGAGTGAGGAGACAGGAGACAGTGAGGGCATTAGGGCCCCAACACTGGTCCAGCCCAACTGGTCTGTGGACCAGCATCCAGTCCTTCACTAGGGGCTGCAAGATGGCTCGGTGGGTAAAGACACTTGCCACCAAGCCTAATGACCCCCAAAAGGTGTCCTCTGGCCTCCACACACACCCCACAACAAGAACCTCTCATGCACCCACCACACCCTCGATATACAAATAAAGAAATGTAAATCTGACGAGTCCTTCCTTGACTCTGCAGTGGGTAGACCTTTCCCTGGGACCTGACTCAGGACTTAATGTTAGAAAAAAAGACTTTTAAACATTTTCTTAAACTTGCCAGGCAGTGGTGGTGCACACCTGTAATTCCAGCATTCAGGAAACAGAGATAGGAAGATCTCTGTGAGTTCAAGGTCAGCCTGGTCTTGAACTCACAGCTGTCTCTAACTCCAGTTGCAGGTGAGCCAATGCCTTCTCTGGCCTCTATGGGCGCTGGGCCCACACACGGTGCACAGACATGCATGCAGACAAAACAATCACCCACACACATAAAAAATAAATCTTAAAACACATTTCAATTAGCACCTTGGATTCATTAAAAGTTTCCAGCTCTAAGTACATTTACAAAGTTGTACAACTGTTAACTTCCAGAACATTCCATCACCCCAAATGAAGTCTCATTCCTACGAGAGGTTACCCGCCTCCTCTGCAGCCCTTGTCAGCCAGCACCCCACTTCCCACTTCTGGCTCCCCTATCTGGGGTATTTCCCTGGCATGGAGTCTCACACTGAGTGGCCTTTGTGTCTGTCATTGACCGCAGTGTTTCTGAGGTCTCTCCATGATGTGTCATGGTGTCATTCTTTCTGGAGACTGAGCAGTACTCCAGCACATGGCTGGGCCATATGTGCCAGTCCATGGATGGATAATGGGACTACTTCCCATTTTGCCTAAACTATTCTGAAGCTGTCTTCTTCCCTCCAAGTGGCCCCAGCTGTCAAGGAGTATCCTAAGACACTCACTGTGCTCAGGATTTAGGCCCCTGAGAACACTGGGAGTTGCCAGGGATCCCAGGGACCGGTATCCACTGTCCCCAGATACAATTTCTGTGATAGCTGGAAGGAGCTGGGAGGTTCCCCAGCTGTGCCTCACCTTAGGGCGCAGTTTTACAACAACTGTATGGATAATGCGAAAGGCCAGGACTGGTATCGTGTTCACGGCCACGTTGAGTATGATCACCAGTAGGTTGGAGGGCTGACTGAGCACATTGTAATCAGCAACTGGGAGCAAAGCAAACAGTTGGGGGGGAGGGTGAACACCGGTACCCTTCCCTCCCCTCAGCCACAGGACCCTACCCTGCCAACTCCCTTCCTCCAGATGATGCCAGGTGGTCACGGCAACCTTCCTGTTACCCAAGAGGTCACTGCCTCCTGCCCACGCCCTCCACACACAAACAAGGGAAGCTCACACAGAAATGGGAAGGTCTTTGGCGAGATCTTGTACAACCAGAAGCTCTGAGTGAGGCATGTCATGACAACATAGGAGCCAAGGCTGAGCACGATGCTGCCCACACACAGGAGCGTCCAGTACTTGATGACAAGAATGACCTGGACAAGAGTCAGGAGGTCAGCAACAGGAGGCAGGATGAAGACGCGCAGGGTCCAGGGAAGGGTACCCTCAGAGGAGAAGTCTGTGTTGGGGATCTGGGGAGTGTCCAAGCTGAGAAACTGAGTTGCAATCTCCAACACCCATGTAGAAGCTTAGAATATGGCTGTGCATGCCTGATTCCCAGCACTGAGGATGGGAAGATACTTGGAGCCCACTAGGCAGCCCAACCTAATTAGTTGTAATTTCAATGGAGTCCTGGGGAGATGGCTCAGTGGGTAAAATATTTTCTGTGTAAGCCTGAGGACCTGAGTTCACATCCCCTGTACCCACATAAAGCTGCTTGCTGAGTGTGACTGCACACACCTGTCATCCCAGCCAACCCAAAGCTAGATAGGGGGCAGTGACAAAAATCTACAAAGCCCATGGCCAGGTAACCTGACCACATATGCAATTGTTCCATAACGGTCCATTCTGCAGGAAGCTCCTGAAGCAGGAAGTTAAACCCCACAAAATAGCTTCAGGAAGCCCAGTGGTGGCACGCACCTTTAATCCCAGCACTGGAGAGGCAGAGGCAGGAGGACCTCTGCGGGTTTGAGACCAGCCTGGTCTACAGAGTGAGTTCCAAGACAGCCAGGGCTACTACACAGAGAAGCTCTGTCTCAAAACAAAACAAAACAAAACAAAAACAAACAAACAAACAAAAAAAAAAACAAAAACAAAAAACCCACAAAAAAACAAACAAAATTCAGGAAGTTCCTGAAACTTCCCAGGCTGGCCTCAAACTCACAGAGATCTGCCTGCCTCTGCCTCCCCAGTGCTGGGATTAAAGGCTGTGCCATCATGGTAAAAATTTAAGAGGATAGAATAAAAAGTCAGTGTGAGGCAGAGGCCTCCATGGTTTCTCAGATGTCAGGGTTCCACCTACCTCCAGGGTGATAGTCAGCAACCCAGATATAGCCACCAGTACCCCAAAGGACTGGTGGTCACTAGAGCTGCCATACTTGGAAATGTCACTGCGCATGAGGACCGGCATGAAGAAGTTGATGAGAGATGTAAGGATACCATGGACAATGGCTTGCAGGAAGATGCTGTAGTTGAACAGCTCATCTTTCTGGCCAGCCACATACAGCTCTGGCATCTTTAGGCTCTTTTCAGCAGTCATGTCCTGGACAGGAGGGAGAGCCTGTTAGGGGGGAGTCCAGTGGGGGAGAGCCTGGGGGTGGGAGAGTCCAGTGGGGGAGCCTGCGGGTAGGGGAGTCTGGAGGTGGGGACTCTGGGGGTACAGGGCTCCCACATGAGAGCTCCATGAGACAGAGCTCTGGAAAGGGTAGGTGGCCTGCTGGGGGCAGACAGGGCACAAGATCCTGCATGCCACTCACCTGCTCAAACAGACCAATGTACAGGACTGGGAGCGTAGAGTACAGCAGGTTAAAGAGAGCCAGGAACCAGCCTTCATACAGGGGCTGCAAGGGAGGTGAGACCCTCACCAGACATCCAGGTGTACCTCACACAGGAGCCCCAGCAGCCAGAGGCCAACCACTTGGGACAAGCAACAAGCAATGACAGACATCAAAGTCTGGTACTTTGGAGGAATGTGTAAGGCTTGGGAGGTTCCACAAGCCGTTGGAGAATGAGCTTCTAGATTGCTCTAGAATTGCATCAAGTTTGGATCTAACTAAAGGAGCTAGAGACTAAAGAGCTAGAAGAGACCCAGTGACAGCCAATCTGGGGTTCAGGTCTTCTCTTGATGACAGACCTAACTTTGCTAAGAATAAACACCAGGCTCACAGAGCCTAAGCAACCCAACCCTGGGGATGTGGATGCAGGAGGCTGTCCAGCTGGAGCCCAACCTTGCATGCACGAAACCCTGGGTTTCACCCCCAGCACCAAGCATGGCGCCTAGTAGGCTCTGTACATGTAGGTGAGCCCCAGCCAAACAGTCTTACTATCGACCTAACTATATTTTATGTTATTTTTTGGTTTTACAAGACAGGGTTTCTCTGTGTAGCCCTGGCTGTCCTGGAACTTGCTCTGTAGACCAAGCTGGTCTCAAACTCACAGAGATCCGCCTGCCTTTGCCTCCCAAGGGCTTGGATTAGAGGCGTGTGCCACCACTGCCAGGACCAACCTAGCTATCTAGAATCCATGGTAATACTCCTGCCTCATAACCCCACACTGTCATGATAGGTGTGCACACCACACCTGATCTGCCTAGGTGGCCTTGTACTAGTGGCAGTCTTCATGCCTTAGCTTCCCTAGTGTCAGGATGATAGACATGCAACAATATACCCGTCAGCGCACCTGTGCAGTGAAGCCGCTGAATATGGAGAACCATATCTGGGCCATCATGCTGGCCACCGTCTTGTAGAAAAAGTAACGCAGGAACTTGCAGACTCGCATGTAGGACCAGCGCCCGTGCACAAGGAGCAGCCGCTGCAGGTAGCAGAATTGGGCCAGCACGTAGTCGCTGTTCTGAACAGCCTGCATGCCCTCCTGACCTGCTAGCCCCACGCCGATGTCTGCAGCTGCAGGCGAGGGCCATGACAGCCCGCATCAACCATCAGGGGCCCAGTCACCAAGATCCACCTCCACCCCTGCCCCCAGCCACAGGCCCAGCACCCACTCTTGATCATGTTCACGTCGTTGGCTCCATCTCCGATGGCCAGCGTCACCACCTTCTGGTATTTCTTCACCAAGGCCACCACCAGGGCCTTCTGCTTGGGTGTCACCCTGCAGCAGATGACAGCCTGGCATTTGGAGGCCAGCTCTACAAAGGCCCTCTCCCGCTGCTCCTCGGGGCTCTCGTGGATCTTGGAGGCGACTGATGGGGATTGTGCCAGGGATGATCCAATGTTTCGCCACATCTGGGAGATCCTCCGCGCCTGGAGGAAGTCCATCCTGGACAGACCCAGCTCCTGAGGGACCTCATCCACCACTGCATTCTGGACTAGAGCTCGAGGCTCCTTGCGCAAGGACAGAAGCAGCTGATCCTGAGTGTCGGGTGTGGGGGTGGGATGGAGGAGAAGGGGCTTGGGTCACTAGGCCTGCATCTCCCACTCCAGGTTTCACCAACCCAGCTGCTCCTCACCCTCAGTGACACTCACCAAGAACTCTCCTTTGATAACCAAGGCCATGTTGTGGTGGGTCATTATCTTGAACGCCCTCTGCTGTTCGCTTTCGTTCCTACAGTAGTTCTCCAGTAAACGACTGTGGGAACATGGGATGGATGGAAAGGTGGTGCCATCGTCCTACCTCCTACCCATGGGACCATTTGAGAGTACCAGGGAGGACGACTTGCTTACTTGATGTCCTTATCTTCCAAAATGAGCATGTTCTCCGACAGCAGTTTGCACGCAAAACCAATGTTCACTGCAGTCTCTGCAAAACCAGCCAGGTAGGTAGGTGCACACACTTCGGCTCAGCCACAGATCCAGAGGCCCCGCCCCCGGGCCTGGAGACCCTGTCCATCACGCCCTCCCTCCCCCCCTCCCCCCCCCCGTCTCTTGCGGCCTCCTCCCCCACCCCCTGGCAGGCCGCAATGATTGGTCCAGAGTGCTGTGTGTCATAACAGAGCTGGCCAATCAGAGGTAGCCCTAGGACTTTGGCCCCTGGGCCTGGGGCGTCTGAAAGGGATGGGGAAGCACCGGGAACCCAGGAAGTGGGATGGAGGCTGGGATCCTGAGGCCCACCACACTTTGAGCAAACACGAAAATGTCAAATTTATTTTGAAAGTCACAAACAAAAAATCAAAAGAAAACAAATTAAAAACCAAACAAAAACTAACAAAAATTAAAACCTCAAAAATGGTCAGAGTGGGCATGTCTATACATGGGTAAGAGGGAGCCCCTCAACGCTGACCTGGAGGTCAACAGGAGGTCATCTCAGGGCAGGTGTGTCTCCAAGGGTGTGAAGGGGTCCCCACCCTGCTGTGTGATGGTCGTGATTGAAACTCTCCCGGAGCGAGGGGGATTGCATGAGGCATGTGTCCCAGTCCTGGGGACAATGCAGCTGGCGGGACAGCGCCCCAGGTGCAGCATGCATTCTGGGGCAGCAGAGCCAGGGACCCACCTGGCTTGTCCCCGGTCAGCACCCACATTTTTATGTTCCCCTTCTTGAGGCACTTGATGGTCTCAGGAACGCCATCTTGCAGTTTGTCTTCAATGGCCGTGGCTCCCAGCAGCTGCGGGAGGCAAGTATGTTTTCAGGCGCCAAGACCCAGATCCAAGGGGCCCAGGCGGCCGGTCCCCAACTTCCCAGTCCACCCACCTTCAGGTTCTGTTCCATCTTGTCATACACCAGGTGCAGGGCCTGAGCACGGTTCTGCAGCAGGAGGGTGGCCTCCAGATGCTCGGGTTCCCATTGTTTGTATGCATCCTCCTCCACCTCCTTGTAGGCCAGGCACAGGGTGCGCAGGGTCTGCTCTGCGAAGGACTGCAGTAGCCCCAACCATGAACACCGACCCAGTCCTCAGGGTCCTTGTCCCCAGTCACCAGTGCCCCTGTGCCTCTGGACCTTTGCACAGGTAGCACCCACCCTGCTAACACCGTCCCTATACATGCTTCAGCCAATTCTTTCTCACACTCCTGCCTCAGAACTCCAGAGCTGAGATGACAGGCGTGTCTCTGCCCCAGCTGTTCAGTCAATTCTAAGGTCCTACAGGTCCTCCCCCTTGTAATCCATCCAACTCAGGGTCCCCATCCCAGGACTCCTCCTAACATCACCATGGCAAGCAGACATTTTTGACACCTAGCATCCTTCAAGGCTTTCCCTCTCAGGCCCTTGGGCAGATATGAAACGCGTTCACTCTTGATGGCCAGGGATCCAGGGAAAAGGTCCAGGAAAACTTGCTTATTGTGTCCCTCTATCCCTTAATGGCCTCAGGGGCATGGACCACAGCTATTGGTTGATGGGGGTGTGGTGGGATGGGAGGTCAAGGTTGACTGTCACACTAGCTTTCCATGGTGGTGGGCACCTCAGACAGGCTTGGATTCTTCACTGGACCGCAGTTTACCCAACCACTCCATGGAAAGTTGGTCCAACTAATTGAGCCCCTGGAATCTTAATCTGAAGGGCCTAGATCCCCTCTCCCCACGACAGAGGGCACCTGAGAACCCTCAGCAAAGCCTTTGAACACGCAGACACTCCCAGCCCTGCAGAACTAAGGACATTCCAGACAGCATTGGACTAAGGGCAAAGACAGTTCTAAGTTATCCGAGGGCCTCTGGAGGTGGGTCTTAGGGCTGTGACTTGAGGATTAAAAGAAGTGAATAACAGAGCCATCATTTGAGGGGCATGTGCAGAGGTCCACCTTGCCCCCTGAGCTCAGAGAATGTGGCAAGTGGTGCTGCAGTGAGGAGGGACCAAGGGGTACAGGCCAGCAGGAGACGAGCCACATCCTCCAACACTGAGCCAAGGAAACCTGGCTTCAGCTATGGAGAGCAAATCTACAGCTGTAGCTGGGAAGGGGAGGCACCCAAAGCACCCTTGGGGTACCCTGTGTGAAGTAGAAAGATGCTGCAGATTCAGCTCCTGTCCCCTTCTGTGTATGGGTGGGGAGTGGAATGGGGTGAACATTTTGGGCCATGAGCGACTTGCTCATGTATGTGACTGCCTGTCTCCACACTCATGCACACTGGCCTCCCCAGCAGGAGACTCACAGCTAAGACTTCCTCTGTGGTCTCCTCCATGGTACCCTTCGTGTGAAGGCGTTCCAAAATGACTGTATCAGCACCCTTAGTGTAGAGGCAGATGGAACCCTCTGGGTTTCGGACTGTGAGAGGAGGGGAGAAGGCCCTGATGTCTGCTTGCCCTCTGCTGCAAGGCACAGGGGCGGCAGGGGGTGGGGGCTGGGGCTTACCCAGCACTGACATCCGTTTTCGAACACTGTTGAAATCCATCATGGCCAGAACCTGGTAGACCCGTTCCTCCCCCAGCTCCACCAGGGTAATGGTGTCCTGGGTCCGAGACAAAAACACGTAGCCAAAGTTCCGGGCAGCGGTGACCAGTGCCTCCTCATCAGGGGAGGCAGCCTGGTACAGCAGCTGGTCTGACAGAGAGAAAGGGGGATGGGTAAGAAGGGGTGGGGGTGGAGTGGGGATGGGAGGGGGTGGAGTGGGGATAAGGAGGGGTGAGGTTTGTGGGTGAGAAGGGTTGGCCAGCCATCTCTTAGCAGCCCCTTGCCACAGCCTGGCCCCTTGGACAGGGATCACACAACAGAACCTAACTTCCAGCTCTAAGGCAAGGGAAAGATACAGTCCCTGGGGACCCAATGTGGGAAATGCATTGAACAGCCTCCAGGCTCTGGGGACTTCTGTCCAAGAGGCTGAGCCAGTGGCCCCTGGATGGCGGGCAGAGACAAACCATGCCTGGCCACTCACTGTCTTTCTCCTGTACCATCACAGTGTGGCAGATGGCTAAAAGACGCCAGAACTCCTTCACTACTGTATCCTGCTGGCCTTGCACAAGGGATTCCAGCTCCTTATTGTAGAACTGGAGTTTGCCATCGGCGAACTGGTTCCAGGCATATGGGTTCCGCTGGAGACAGCAGGGAGCAGGCAGGGTCAGGTGATCTGCCACTAACCCCATCCAGGCCTACCTGTGCTTTCCATCAGGCTGGGTCCACGGGGCTTACCTTTCGGAGTATGCCATGCTCATCATCCGAATCTGGGGAAAGAACCTGATTCAGGATTTGGCTGCCCCTGTGGAGCCCACACTTAGGGATTCCTCCACCCAGGTTCAGGCTTCCAGGGGACACCTGATATTATCAAGTTTGGGTCCACATGGCCCATGGTCTGGTTCTGAGTTCAGGTGTTCATTAGCTGACCCCCCAGGGCAACCTCACTAGGAAGTTGTGGGGGCAGGGGCTGGGGACATCACCGTAGATGCAGCCATTAATGCAGCACTTCTTGAAGGTCATGATGTTCTGTGTCAGCGTCCCGGTCTTGTCTGAGAAGATGTACTGCACCTGACCCAGCTGGTCATTGAGGCTGGTGCTGCGGGCCTTCGCTGGCATATCCAGGGGCTCGTAGTACATATTGAGATCCCAGTTGATGAAAAAGCTATTGCCTAGGTAGATGAACTCAGCACTGCAAATGGCCAAGTCCATGCTGAAGTCAGTTTTGATCCAAGTTCCACAACCTGTGGGAAGGAACCCCCTAAGGCCTGTCCTGAAGCTTACATGATGAACATGGCCATGGGTATCATGACGCTGAGCAAGATGAGGAAGCCCCAGAAAATGAAGAAAGACTCCATGGCTTCTGTGCTCTTGTGCAGTGCCAACAGGTAGTAGTGTTTGCCTTTGAACTCTTTCACCATGAAGGTGAAGCCCAATGTCAGCACCAGGGACACGACCACCAGGCACATGAAGATCTGTGAGGTAGATGGAGATGGTAGAAGCGTTGCACACAGGGATCCAGCAGACACAGGGTGCCCGGGTTAAGGGAGAACAAGAGGGCAGGAGGGATCTCTAAGGGTTCTGGTCCGGCCTTGGGGTTCCTTGTCTAATACAAGCTGGCCTCTGAGTCCTGATCCTTCTACATCAGGCGACCATAAAACATAATACAAAAGGAGCCCAGGGTAGGTCTGTGACGTCAGTATAGGCAGGGGGATGGGAGTTCAAAATTACCAAGGGCTGCGCAGCAATAAAAACAACCAGGAGGAAGAGGAGGGAGGATGAGGAAGCAACAGGGTATCTGCAGAGAGTTGAGCCACCACCTTGTTCCTCAGAGCCCCAAGCTCTCCTGGATACCTTACCAGGATCACCAGCTTGTTCATCAGCAGGTCCAACTTGGTCCTCTTCAGATGAATCTTCCCACAGTTTTTCATGATCTTTGTGTCTAAACCTGTAAGATTTATTTCCATCCCTGCACACCATTCAAGTGTCCACCTATCTATCTATTCATCCATTCACCCATGTATCCAACCATTCAATCACCCATCCATTTACCTATCCATCCATTCACCCATTCATCAATCCACTCATTCACTCATCCACCCATCCATGCATCCATCTATCAACCACCCACCCATCCACCCACCCACCCATCTGTCCATCCACCCATGCATCCACCATTCACTCACCCACCCATCCTTCCTTCCCTCTACACAACATTCCATTTTCTCAGCAATAACCAGAGCACTGACCACTAGCCCATCTGACAGTACCCAGGGCCCACATCATGCAGGCTTTGGGTCCCTCACTAACTTCAAGGTTCTCCCTCAATTCCCTAATCCAGATGTCTACTGCACCGTACCAGCATAGATGACCAGGCCATAGCAGGTGTCTGTGTTGCGAATCTTGCAGCCACGCAGGAGGAGGTTCCCGATGTCCAGTGGGTACTTACTGCTGTTCCACTCCAGGCTCCCCACAAAGTGATGCATCCGGCTGTTGGGTTCCTCACAAATCACTGTACCTGTGGGATCCAGTGAGCATCGGCCATATGGCCTCGGCACTGGCCTTGGTCCTGCCACATTCCTATCACTACCCTCCTAGGTCCACATGTCCCTCTTGGCACCCCAGCACCATCTCTCAACTTCCTTTGACATGCTCCAAAGTCGATGTGTCATGGCCTCGAGACCTTTGCATACACAGTTTTTGCAAACCAATAGCCCTCCCTCCCTCTCCAACCTTTCCCTTGTGGCAGCATCTTGGATGGATGTGGCTTCAATGTCCATGCTTTCAATGACAACAGTGTCTGTGAGCCACCCCTCCTCAGACATCTCTGTGACCCTCACAGGTCTACAGACAGATGACCCACAGGAGGCAAAAAAGCAGTTCTGCTTAAGGCAACTCAGTAGCCAGTGTTGGTTCAAACCCCAAGTTGTTTGGTTTTTGCATATTTAAGCATGTCACAATTTGGTGAAAACTTATTCTGATGATGAATAACTCAATCCTGTGTGCCCAGAAAGATAAGTTCTAGAAAGGTGGTGGCACTCCTCTAATCCCAGCACTCAGGAGACAGAGGCAGGGGGATCTCTATGAGTTCAAAGTCAGCCTGGTCTACAGAGTGAGTTCAAGGACAGCTAGGGCTGCACAGAGAAACCCTGTCTGAAAGAAAAAAAGAAATCTTTTTTAAAAATCAACAAAATAAAGAAGAGATAAAGCTAAGGACATTTGGCTCCAGCAGAAGGCAGCCTCACCCATGATCCTCTGCTGTTTTAAGAGCCCAGGGCCTAGTGGTCATGTGTGACCCATGGGGGACAGGCATAGAAGACAGGCAAAGACTCTGAGTTCAGCATTTTCCCAAGGCATGTTTAGCATGGATAATCCCTTGGGGGTCCTGACTTGTTGACCACCCAGCATTCCAAGGAGGAGGAAGCTCTGTCCTTCAGAGGAGGAGACCCAAAGATCAGGGAGGCTTGCACTGGGGCCCCTCTGCCACCCCCACACACGGTCTACTCTGGAACTTCCTCCTTCTCACTTGACACACTAAATGAGCATGTACTGTGTGCCAGATGCCCTGTAGGCCCTGGGGTCTTGCATGACAGAGGGGTGCAAAAGCCACAGAGGTCTTTGTACTCACAGGTCAGTGCCAGGAAAACCTAGAATGTGAACCACATAGGTTCACACTGAGTGCCCAGAGGTCACACTGAATCCTTCTTCCAGCCTTTACTGTAATTGTTTGTTCTTAGTCAATCTATAGGACACATCTTTTTGTTTTGTTTGTTTTTGTTTGTTTGTTTTTGGAGACAGGGTTTATCTGTGTTGCTTTGGAGCCTGTCCTGGAACTCTCCCTCTGTAGACCAGGCTGGCCTCGAACTCACAGAGATCCTCCTGCCTCTGCCTCCCCAGTGTTTGGGATTAAAGATGTGCCCAGCCTTAAACTTTTAGTTACACAACTGTGTATAGATGTGTGCACATGTGTGCAGGAGCCTGTGGAGACCAGAGGCTCCAGGTCTTCTGGAGCCAATGAGAACCAAACTCATGTCCTCTGCAAGAGCATCAAGTGCTCTTAACCACTGAGTCATCTCACCAGCCCTCAAACCTGGGATCCTCCTGCTTCAGCCTCCTCAGTGCTAGAATAATTGTTAAGTTCTAAGGAAGATTAGAGAAACCAAGTCAGGTGTGCTGTGGTTTGAGATGATATGCGCATTTATGCCACGAGAGTAAATTACCTTTGCACTAAGACAGAAAAAAATAAAATCTCTTAATTGGCTTTTGCCAAACAGTGACTATGCCAGCTTGGGAGGTTTTTTTTTTTTTTTTTTTTTTTTTTTTTTTTTTTTTTTTTGTGGTAGAAAAGGAACTGCGGGTATGTAGGGCGTGAGGCATGGGGTCCCTTTCCAGGGTGTTAGCATGGAAGAAGAGACTCAGGCGCCACAGGCTGGCAAAGACTGACCCCAGCTGTGCAGACCCCACCCACCATCCATCTTGACCCAGCAAAGGAGGCATAGAGAGGCACACAGCCCTGCCCTGGTCCCCTCACCCTGGAAGGAAGCCATCTTCTTTGGGCTAGTAAGTTCATGGTGTGTGACCATCAGAGCCTGTTTGAACTTCAAGTTGGTCTCCCTAGGGACAAGAGCAGAGTGAAAGTCATGGAAAAAATGTAGCCGTGGATGACACCCTTCAGTAAGAAGCTGTACTTCCTTCTAGGCCCTTGCCCACTTTTGCTGAGCACCTATGAACAGAAGGATGAGGCTCAGAGAGGGCGAGGGCCTTGTCTGAGGCCACACAGCACAACTGCCCATGGTCAAGGCTGGGCCTAAGCGGTCTGGACTGGGAGCAGATACACTGTTGCCCTGAAAGCTTAGCTGGACTACCTGGCTGTCTCTTAGCCACAGGGGAAGCAGGGATCCTGTCGCCCAAGCCCCCAGGTAAGCCACTGCTTCTTACCCATCAATGTCTGCAGTTTCCACGTAGCACAGGCTACTGGGTTCTGTGCTGGCCAACAGGAGCATGTCGGCCTGGGATGGGGCAGGGAGGAGTCAGGACTGCTGGTGGACCTTCCCCCAAGGGCACTTGTGGGGGGGGGCTCACCGGGACGATGCTGTCTTTGGCGAGACACACCACATCCCCCACACACAGATCCTTCCATTTCTTCCACAGGAAACTACAAGGAGGGCAGGGAATCAGGGCATGGCTCACCCTGCCCATGTGCCTAGCCTTCACTGCAGCTGCTGGAGCCACCTCTGGGGCTCTTGCCCCTGCTGAGCCACCACCCTGCAAGGCTCAGCTCAGCTGCTGCTGCCTCCACTTATGTTCCCCACACAGGGCCCATGCTGCACTCTCCAGGCCCCATCCCTGTCCTTAGCCTGTCCTCAAGGAGTTCCCTTTGTCTGAACTCTATACTCCACAGAGCCAGAGTCAACCCCAGCATGCCAGACAGCAGCTTCCTAATAAGTTCAGGCTTAGGTTCAGTTCAGTCTCAACTGGGATGCACCTAGTGTGTGTCCTAGTTACGTATTTTGAGACAGGGTGCCTCTGTAGCTGTGGAGCCTGTCCTGGAACTCCCTTTGTAGACCAGGCTGGCCTTGAACTCACAGAGATACACCCGCCTCTGTCTCCTGAGACAAAAGGTGTGGGATTAAAGGTGTGGACACCACCACCTGGTTGGGTGGGCAAGTCTTTATGGCATTTTCTTGACGGATGATTGACGTGGGAGGGACCCACCCCTGTGGGTGTGGCCAGTCCTGGGCTGTATAAGACAGCAGGCCCAGCAAGCCTCTAAGGCCTCTGCATCAGCTCCAGCCTTGAGCACGTTCCTGCCTGACTGCCCTCCCAATGGACTGTAGCTGTGAGCTGCAGTGAGCCCTTTCCTCCCAAGTCATGTTTGGTCATGCTGTTTACCACAGCAACAGACAATAAGCTAGGACAGTGTGGGAAGGTACTAGCCTCCCAGTGGCCTCCCCCATATGTTAGAATCTCATTGTCCCCAGACGTCCCCCATCCCTGTGGTAGTTGTCAGCCTCACCTCTTCCCTCTCAGGATCTGGCAGGGTCTGTTGTTAATGATCTTATCACTCCTGTGTCGACCCTGGACCAGCACAATGAGGATCAGAGAGGTGGCCCTGTCCCCACTCTGCCCAGGTTCCTGCCCAACTGTGCCATTGCCTGTCCCCAGAGTGGATTCCCAAGACAGAGAGGCAGAGCCTGAGGGTGTCTGCCCACAGTGGCTCCCCCTGTGCTCACTCTCTGCTCCTTGTGCGTGGCCCCATACCCTGGCCATCGCCATCCTGGCCTCACTCACAATATCATCAACCAGGTCACGGGTGGCTCGGATCACAAGCAGGCAGACCAGAGGTGCAAAGATGGTGAACCAGGGTAGTGTGGAGATCTCAGGGATGCTCTGTGGGTACCAGGAGAGCACCAATGACCTCTACCCTGCCCTCTTCACACAGCTCTCACCTTCCCTTCCTGTCCCGTCCCCTCCCAGGAAACCAGGTTCCTCCTCCTTCATCTCTGAGCCCTGTCCTGCCACCTCTAGGGAACAGTCACAGACCACTGCAGTCCTGGACTGCCACTTCTCAAGTCTTCTGCAGACAAGAGGTCATGGTGGGCGTGGCCTGGTTGACTCTCCTGCACACAGCTGGTGCTCAATACATGCTTTGTAATTTGATGGGTAAAAGCAGAGCAGAAATGAGGTGCTGGGCTGGTGGGTGCACCTGAGCCCACCAGGTGAGTGCGGTGGAAGGGACCCTGTGAAGCCTACATTGGTAAGAGTGCTGTGCCTTCCTCATCCTGCAGCCAGCATTTACTGAATGTCATGAGCACCTGTTGAATGTAAGGTCTTCATTCAGCATGCTGAGTGCCTGCTGAATATAAGGCCTTTGGGGCAGCATTTGCTAAATTACTATTGCATGTATTTCCTCTAGCCAGCATGGGAGGAGCACCTGCTGAATGCCAGCATTTACTGAGCACCTGCTGAATACAAGGCCCCAGTATAGTGCTTGATGAATATAAAACCCATCTCATGCACCCACCTTTGGCTTTCAGCATATATGATGCCCCTCCTGCTTGCCAGGGCCTGGGCAGCTAGCACGCAGGAGGGAGACAAGAGGGACTTTAAGGCCGCCAGTCACACAGTCACACAGACAAGAACACAAGAGTCTTCAGAGAAATGACCCCTTCAAGGCGGCTCTAGCGACCCTGAGGCCCCACCTCACCCACCCACCCGCTGGCCCTGCCCCACCCCGCCCCATCCGCCCTACCGACGCCCCGCCTGCCCGCTGGCCCTGCTCCACCCACACCTCGCCCATCCTCTGGTCCCGCCCTGCTCCGCCCACCTGCAGGATGATGATGAGAAGGAAGTAGAGATTGGACATACGATGGAACTGCTCAAACAGGTTCAGAGGCAGGAAGGAGAAAAAGTTGTACTTGGCCGTGTGGATGGCGTTGCTCTAGAACAAGAGCCATCAGCTGTCGGCATGCCGCGCTGCCCCCATTACAGGAGCCCCTGGCCAGCCCTGCCCACGGCATCTGACTGTCCACCCGTCCCACCCTATAAGGCAGCATCAATAAAGCATATACCAAGCCGATACTGAATGCCCGCCGGGCCAGCATCGAGGATAAGAAAACTGTAAGGCTTCCAGCCAGTCTTGATGGAAGCAAGGTCTTGATGGAGCGCCAGCTGAATGCAAGGCTTCCAGCAGGCATTAATTGAGGTTCTACTTAGTGCAAAGTCATGGAGCTGAGTGAGACACAGCAAGGGATTGTGGGTATGCCTGATGGGAGTCCTGAACTGACATATATGTAGAATTAGCTCATAGGGAACGAGGTGAAATTAGGGACTGGGAGAGAATGGACATCACTGTCATGATTAAAATAAGGAGGGCATGAAATGCCTGGTAACACTGTCCTGTCTTCCCAGCACCCAGGAGGCTGGGCCTGAAGGATCCTGCCTGGATGACAGAGAGAACTGAAAGTCACTCTTTATTGAGTAAAAGGTAAAATGTATGCTCAAAGCCCCGCCTAGAATCCCCCTGTGAGGGCTGGGGGCGTGGCCAAGGTGGAGCCCTGCCTTGAATCCCCCGGTGAGGTGATTGGGCATGACTCAAGAGATGGAGCCCACCTTCCTCCCTGACCCCAGCATTCAGCATCCATTCCTAATCCTGCAATAAATTCCTTAGTGCTGGGGAAGCTGAGGCAGGAGGTTCGGGAGTTAAAGTGCAAACTAGTTTACCTGTGAGGTCTCCTTTAAAAAAATAACTCTGAGAACTCCCAGGGTGGATCCTGGCGCACTATGGGGTCAGGCACCATGGAGAGCAGCTGTCCAGGGGTGACTCACCTTATACTTCTCCTCTCTCCACCACAGAAAGCCCTTCTTCCTGAACTGCTTGTGGTAGGCTCGATCGTTGGCTTTCACCTCCCAGGTGAACGCTGTGGAGAGAACAGGGCAGCAGGCGCTGCTGGGGCTCCGCTAGGGACAACCTCAGGCAGTCGCCCTGGAGCCTGAGGGCTAATAGGCCCCCAGGGACCCCAGGTACATTGATGCCCATCTCAGGCCAGGAACTTGGTAAACAGCGGGACGAGACAGGGGAGCTGCTGGGGACCCAACAGTCTCTGCACCTGGAGGCAGATCGTGGGTGCAGTGACAGTTGGCCTCTTACCCACAAGCCATTTCATTTCCATCAGAGAGCAGGGTCCCAGGAACTCATCACAGGATAGACTGAGGACAGAGCCCCAGCCCTGGCAACCCCATCCTGATCTGTAGTGCTGGCTGGGGGGTGAGCCGCCACCCCAAGTTCCCCTCTCCACCCTGCCTTACTGGTGACATGGGGCCACACCTGTGTCTTTATCCTCTAGATCTTCCCCAAGGTGAACATCATCCATGCTGGTGGGGCTGTGGGGTGGGAAGAAAGAGCCCTAAATCACAATCAATCACTCTTCCCCACAGTCCTGCTGGGGGTGAGGTGTCTGCCCAGACCGTCAATCTTATGCCTGGGAGGCTGAAGCAGACAGATTGCAACCCAGCCAGGCATAGGTTTTGTAGCAAGATTTTGTCTTGGAATAAAAACAAAAGCTGGGGTGTAGCATAGTGGAGATTATCTCTCTCACACCAATCGTCCATCTGAACTCTCCACTCTGGGCTTTTGGGACCCAGCCTTATACCCGGGATGAGGGGCACTGCTGCTGAGGTGCTGTGGCCTGGCCGAGGGAGCATTGAGGACGTCCTGGCTGCCCCAACAGTCTGCCCTGTGCCCCCCTGTTCCACCTGTTCCCAAAAGGCCCAACAAGCACCCCACACGTGTGTGCTCAATCCATGTTCGCTGATTGACCCCACGGGGCTGAGGGGTATATATGTGACATCATCTCACAGCCTGTGTGTATGAGCATAGAGCCATTTAAAAATAGATCTAGCCTGGTGTGGTGGCACATGCCTTTAATCCCAGAACTCAGGACATGGAGGCAGGTGGATGTCTGTGGTCTGGCCTTGGGGATGCTAAGTGTGGTGACACATGTCAACCTGATAACCTTTCTGATCATTTATGTTTTGAGGCAGGGTCTCACTGTATAGAACAGGCTGGCCTTGAACGTATGATTCCCTTGCCTCAGCCTCCTGGAGTAGCTAAAATGACAGGGGTGTTCTACATTACCTGGATGTTCTGGTGTTGTAGCTGGGGACCTAGGTCTTCACCATAAGTCTTAACAAATTGTACTCAGGCAACTAACAGTTGCCCCCCTCATCCCTGGCAACTCTGCACCCCCACACTCCCAATACTCCAGCAATCTCCCAGCCTGCCACCCGCCCCCAGTCCACAGCATCCTCACCCTCCCTGATAGGTGGGGTTCCTCACCCTTCAGGTTTCATTCTGTACTTCCCAGAACGGCCCGTCTGGATCTTGCGCCTCCTAGGGGCTTCCTGTGCAGCTGGGATGTCCCCCATCCTGCCTCTGGTCACCTCTCTTCTTCTAGAGCTTTCACTTAGTGTTTGCTGAACCCCGCATCTCCCCCAGGGTCAGGGACTGTTCGTGTCTGAGTCATGTGTGTCCCTAGGGCATCTTGGGGCAGGGCGTCCTCTGGGCCCAGCACCAGTTGTCCTGGGAGACTGAACCTGCTTTTCCGTGATTATCAAGGAAAACTGAGACTCAGGAAGTGGGAGGGCAGGATAGAGAGAGGAAACCAGTGGACAGCTGGGAGCCTGAGGGACCCAGTAGTCCAGTGGATATCAATTTTCCTGATGCTGCAACCATTTAATATAGCTCCTCACGTGGTGTACCCTAACCATAACATTGTTGTTTCGAGACCAGGTTTCTCTGTGTAGTCCTGGCTGTCCCGGAACTCAGAGATCCTTCTGTTTCTGCCTTAGACTAGCGCCACCACCAGACCTGGCTACATTATTTTATTGCTACTTCATAACTTTTTGCTATTATTATGAATTATGTTAATATGTGTTTTCCGATGGTCGATGGTCTTAGGTGACCCTGAGGAATCTCAAACCACAGGTTGAGAACCGCTGCTCTAGTCAAGAGACTTCCTCTCCAAAGTGTACCTCAGGCAAGAACACAGCCCACTCACCAGACACCTCACTGGCAGTTTCCCCCAGTGACCACAATGCATAGATAGCCTCAGTGAACTCTGTCTAGTGGTCACTAGACTGTGCAGTCCATAACTCTAAACTCGGTGTCTGATTTTATGGACCTCTAGGGGGCTCCATCTCATGTCCCACAATGCTAATACTCTAGCCCTGTGACCCTAAGAGCTCAGAGAAGTCACACAGAAGCCCTAGGATGCACAGCTCGTGAGCATCGGTGTTCACCTGAGAGGGCTTTGTGGGGCCGGGCTGCCGAGGGAGGGCCGCCAGCGGCGTCCAGGGCCGCCGATGTTGTAGAGCTGTTAGCCTGGTGCCAACGGGCCTGAAACGGGCGGCGCGGGCTTGAGGGGCGGGGCATCGCAAAGAGGGCGGGGCCTACCAGGACCATAAGATCTGAGGCTTCAGGGAGGGGAAACGAGCGGGATCAGGCAGTTGGGGCGGGCTCTAGAGAAAGTGGGGCTTAGTTGAGAGGCACGGGAGTAAGGGCAGAGCCCGGTATTGTGGTCATTGTGGTGTGGCCAGGCCTTGTGGGCGGGGCCCTACCTTATGAGCCTGGCGGGTGGATCCAGGCATTGTGGGCGTGACCAAACTTGTGCCGGCGGGGGTGGGGGAGGGAACATGTTTGTGGGTGGTGCAAGAATGGACTGGGCTTGGTTGGCATCATGTGTAGAGGCCAAGGCAGCTTCCTGGGCAGCTCTACGCCTGGTGGATAAAGCCACGCCTCATAGGTGGTGTCATGTTTCATAGGTGGAGCTGTGCCTCACGAGCGGAGGCATGCATCATAGGCCAGGAAGAGAGACAGGGTTTGGCCACAGAGACAGAGAAGCCTTGCTGAGAGGTCAGGCAGCAGGCAGGCAGGGATCTGGAGCTACTGGGGATGAGACCAGACCTAGGAAAATAGTGAAAGGGTGAAGTCATTATCCAGGGCACAGGCTGCAAATCGGTGGGAAGCTACCAGCGCAGGGCATCCCTGAGGTGTCATGAAGGGACTCTGTGGAGATGGGTCTGAGCAGGATTTGAGCTCAGGCTAGCCTCAAGACAAGACCCACAGGTTGAGAACCGCTGATCTAACCAATCAAATATTTCTCAAGACCTTTTTGGATGGCCTTTATCTGGGAGAGCCTCTATGCAGACTTATACAGGGACAAGGGCTCCTCCAAGCACAAAGGCCCTGAGGTTTTCAATGCAGAGCCAGGTTTAGCTAACAGAAAGGTCCTGGTGGGCTGGCCTCCTGTCCTGAGTGAACCTCCTGGAGATTTGACATGTCCTGGGCAGGGTACAGGCAGACACACCAAGACAGACATTTAGACTTTTGTGAATACATCGGCACCATTTATTTTAAAAAACAGAAACAAAAAACTTGTTTACAGAAGGTAGACGAGAGGACAGATTGGTCAGGAGAACCCCTGAAGGTAGATGGTCCAGTTTCCCCCAAGGAAGCTCCCATGGACCCTGCAGCTCCCTGCCCACCAAGATCCCCATCTCCCACCACCTGAAGCTGAAAGGGCCAAAGCAGCCACAGGTGGCTTCATGGAGCATTTGGACTAGGCTCCTACAGAGCCCTGGCCCTCATAACTGGGTCCCCATGCAAGGCTCTAATTCCAGAGAGCCAGGCCAGGGCTTGATGGCTCCAGGCCTCCTCTGCCCTGCAGGTAACTGGCAAGAGGAGGTCTGATCAAGCCCAGGTCACCTGGGACACAAGGACTGCAAAATTTATTGTCTCCTGGGATGGGGACAGAGTGGCCTTGATGGCCAGGACTTTTCTCAAGATTCCAAGTGGCAGAGGTTCCTGGTCTCCACCTGAAACTTGTCTAAGTAGCTGGGTCCATAACAGGCAGAGAGCGGCATTGAAACCACTCCACCAGCCTGCACTTGGGACACACAGTGACCCTCAGAAGAGGGCTGGCAAGCACAGCCTACCCAAGAAGCATTGGGGTGTCTCATAAACTTCCCCAGAGCAAGGTGGCATGGGCCCACTTGGGGTCAGGAATGGTTTTTGGGCAAGGGAATAATCTGTTTTTCTTGACCCTGGCCACTGGGACAGGGGCCACAAGGAGGCGTGTCAAGGTCCTACCTGGCCCCCAAAGCACCACACACCATGAAATCTAAAGTTCATATAAACATTTATTCTGTTCCTACCCACCGAGAGAGGCAGCAGCCCACAGGAAGATGGTCCAGAGGCCTGGAAGGCCAGGCCTTGGGGCTGGCTTGGCTGAGGTTGGGGAGTCCTGGTGGGTTGGGGTGAGCTCTGGAAGCCTCCCCACAAGGCAGGGCAGACAACCAGGCCCACGGGACTGACTGTGGGGTTCAGCCCCTGGATCCCAACGGCACCAGGGATGGACCCCTCTGCTGAGGGGCTGTGCAGGTCAGCAGGTTTAAATTAAAAATTAATACAAATAACAGTATAAAGTAAAAAAAAAGACAACCCATCTCAAACCATGAGGGCTTGTCCTGTCGCCTGCATTATATACAAAGGAGCAGAAGGTATGGAACCACTACCTGGAGCAGAGGGGGGTGGGGGCTGACTGGGCACAGGGAGCAGGCCAGCTCTGCCCTGGGCAGCAGCAGGCTCCAGGGGATAGGACTGGGTGGGACATGTAGGACTGTGTGGGGCTGGGCTTGGGGGGGGGGGTTGGTGTCAGCCCCAGTTCAGGGCCACTGCAGACCTGTAGCCGAAGCCCAGGAGCCCTGGTCAGCTGTCATGTTTTATTACACAGTTTGAAAAGAGGCCAAGGGCATCAGGGCTAAGGGTAGCCAGGGTTGTAGGAAGGGGTTGGTATGGTAGTAGTGGTGGTGGGTGGGGGGGAGTCATCGCTTGGTCTTGGCATCTTCTCGGATCTTCCAGATAACAAGGTGCATGCAGGCACTGGCATCCTCACTGGAGCTGTGCCCATCCACTGCAGAGCAGACACTGTCAGCACAGTCCTGACTTCCTGTACATCCCCCTCAACCCCCACCCCGCTCCTCACCATTGTCTTGGATGATCTGTCTGAGGTAGTCGGCCATGAGGTTCCGCAGAGAGCGCTTATAGGGCAGGCCCAGGCGGTGTGGGAACAGCACTGATGTGTCTACCACCGTGCTATGGATAACCTACAGGAAAGGAAGGCAGGTGGGTGGTGGACAGGGCCTGGTGGGCAGGGCCTCCCATCCTTATCCGCAGCAGGCACAGCTACCTTGAGGGCCAGCAGGTCACTCTCCAGGCTGTGTCCAATGAGGATGGTGTCAGCACTGAACATGCTCAGCAAGACGGCCTGCACGTCCCGCAGTGTGATACTTGTGTCCACGAGGTCGGCTTCTGTCACTCCCGAGAACCTGCAGAGGGCCGGATTCGAGAGGGGCGTCGGGCGGGGCAGGACAGGAGCGAGGTTGGGGTCCCGCGGTAGGCCGGGACACACCTGGTGTTGTAGTCGACAACTTCATTGTCAGGCTTGACAAAGGTGTCGTACACGACCTGCATGTCAGCATCCACAACTGTGACTCGGGTCAGCTCCAGGCCATATGTAGTGTAGGACTGCAGGCATGAGATGGGCACCAGATGTAGCTGGCTTCCCAAGCCCATGGCTGCTGCACAGACCCTGTGGGGACACCAGGGGAGCCACAGCAGCAGAGGGAGGTACAGGCTGGGAACTCAGGGAACCCTCGGGATACTAGCCTGATAGTGTAAATGGCCATCGAGATGTGGCATTGGTAACAGCCTTGCATCTCAGTCAGCCACTCACCTGCCAGCAACTGTCAGCCAGCATCACTTCCTCGCCCTCCTGGAGTGGACCAGCCTGACACAGTACCCAGATTCCTAAGACCCCTGACTCACCATCTCACAGTCAAGGGCGAAGACGCCTGCGTGGCAATCTTCTGGTAGGTCCTTCTGGAAGGTGCGCACAAAGCCTTCCAGGTTCTCCTTCCGGCCGTCCTGCACGTGTTGCTGAGGGACAGGGGGGTCAGCAGCAGGGCTGGCACAGGCTACACATGACGCTTGGGAACTTCCCTGCCCTGGCTAGGCCTGGGCCAGGTGCCCATGGAGGCGGGTGGGCCCAGTGTGCTCCTGACTGGAAGGGCTGGGTGGGGCCACATGACAAGCCTGAACATAGCACTCAAATGTGTCCCTCCATCCCAGTGCAATGACCAAGACAGAAGCCAAGAGCAGGGGGTGGCACACAGCAGGACTTACCTTGGCGACCTGACAGCCCACAGAACCAACCGCAGCTGAGCAGCACATATACTGGGTCTCCCAGCCCCCAGCCACTGGTAAGAGAGAGCAACAGTGTTCAGGGCACCAGGCAGGGGACCTTGCCCACCCAGTCATGGACCAGGATTCAAGGAAGGGATCTGGGCCAACAGCATCTCAAGCTGATGCA